TACACCTGATAATTTACAATCTCAAAATATTACTAACTTCAGTATATCGACGATTTGTTTTCCCCAACATAATTTACATGAAGACCTGTTTTATCCATGCAATATATTGGCTAAGTCAATGGATGTTTTATACAGAAGCAACATATACATTGTATTTGTCCAATATGTAATAAATATGACCATTAAAAACTTATATAAGTCAATTTAATGACATTTTTTAAAACCATATCTTGCCAAATAAAATTTACTAAGACTGTTTTATTATATTTTTATACTGTCTAATTAAATTTATCTAGGACTATATAAACTATAAAAACAGTATTCACTTTTTGAAAAAATTGATAACAATGTGAGATTACAGTCTTAGTCTGGTTAAATATTTATCCTAAAACCTACATTTCAGTAAAAACATTTACCTATTATTCTTTTATATACAATATACATATTTTAAATTAAAACAAAAACATATAAAAAGACACATCAGAAAAAGAGAGCAATTTGCATGTTCTTATATGTAAAGGAAAGTTACCCTTGTCTTAAGTATGTCAAAGCAGGATTTGGCAATATACCGTACACAACTCGTATTTGAGAATATAAAAATAAACTTCTCCATAGCTGTCATTGTGTGAAATTGTGGGTTTTTGACACTCACTTTTTTCAAATAGATCTACACGAATATCTTCATACATAAAACATTCCATTACAGCATGAAATTCACTTTCTACCTTGTCATTACAAAAAGGACAAATCCTTTCATTTACTGGTAGGCGTTCATATCTACCTGTCTCTATTCTTAGTGGTGCAGTTCCACATCTGAACTTAGCAAAAGCGGAACTGTGGCAACGCGGAAGTATGATTTTACAATATTCCTCAGTTCCAAAAGTTGTCTTAAACTGCCTATATGGGCGCAGTTTGTTGCCACCGACCCCGCTTCTAATTCTTTCAGATGTAACATTAACATTCCACTTTGCAATAAAACTTTGCATTGTTCTAGATTGAACTTTTTCTAACATAGCTTTTTTTTGATACCATATTATCAATATTACAAAATTCTGTACATTCAAGATCATATAAATTTGTTTTTTTTTTCTGAAACACCAGTTTTTACATCTTGTACTACCAACTGTATTAGCATACATAAAAACTTTATAGTTTGTTCTGGACCTAGGCATCATACATAGCCTGTGCCTAAAATTAGAAACACTTATCATCTGTCTACTGAAAGTTGGTTGCCAGCCCATATCACATATCAGGGCTGCTGACGGAGAGAAACGGGATGTCCCTAAGAAAAGACGCATAGCACGGTGTTGAATTGAGTCAATACAGGAAAACGATTTGTTTCCATATAGCTGCTCCATATGCTACCACTGACCAAACCAGCGAGACAAATAACTTAGTAAAGACATTGTAAGGCATTCCCCCTAGAGACTTGTATTTAGCTATTAAGAAACCTAAAGCTCGGCTGGCTGACTGAGCAACAAACTTTGCTGTGACAGAGTAGTCTAAATTCTCTTGAAGTGTTAAACCTAAGTGTACATATTTTGGAACACATTCAAGATTACACCATATCTTATTGAGAACCGTCATCTTTGCCGTTCTGTGAAGAATCTTACGGTGCTTGTTGTAGTTAATTCAGCGACAGACCATTTTGAACGGAGACAGAGTATAAGAGCAACTTTGACAAACAACACGTATTACTAGCAACTATCAGAGTTGTGTTTCTTGTCGGAAGAACTGTGAGTCACGTTGTCCAATCTGCGCTTGAAATGGAGTTCGAAATGTATAAGGATATTGTACAAGGAGATTTTAAAAATTCTACACCAATCTTACACATAAAGGTGTGATGGGGTTTAAATGGATTACGGAGAGATGTCACAATGCGGAAATGATTCTGAAAGTAGATGACGACATTGTAGTTAATATCTTTCTATATATCTATAAATTAAAACATTATAAAGCGCTGCAAATGGCAAACGTTTATTTGTGAATACAAATCCGATCTTATACACAGAGATTTTACATCAAAAAATGGTATGTCAATGAAAGTCATTTCAAAGGAGGTTAAAAGATATCTGAAATTTTGCAAAGGAAAGTTTGTGAGTATGATGAATGATATATTACCATCTTTATATCTATCCGCCTCTAAGTCGCCGTTTTTTCATCTCGATGACGTTTTGTTGTTTGGATATGTCCTGCATAAGATTCCAGGATTGAAGTATGAAACGTTCAGTGACAGTGATTGGCAGGAGATAACTAATGAAGCAAAACATTGTTTAGATACCAAAAAAGAAAAATGTACATACATTGCCATGCAGGCCGGTTACAAGGAGGACGTGTTAAATATTTGGTCGTGTATAGATATGTTAAACAAGTGTAACAATTAAAAATTTTATCAAGTGTGTTTGTTATACGATGTCAAGAATTTCCAATGGCTCTCGTTTATTTAAATCAATTTGTATTTTTTAAAACTATTGAAGAAATCTACGCTTTTTAGGAATAAAATGTTTTAAACTTCACTTTTTAAAGATTGCGTTTGAGACACGTTCATTTGTTATATCTCAGCCCTAAAAAAATAAATTTCAAGGACGTATTTCAAATGTACACGACATGTCTGTAAACTCCACGGGAGTTTTTTTTTATTTCGGATACAAATGTATATTCAATCGTATCTTTCCTTACGTTCTTCTTTTTAGAATGTCTCCATAAGTTATCTAAGTTTCTCTTTAGTGATAATTCAACAATCAATTATTCTCTTATTCTTTGTTGTACATTCAAAGAGCTTACATTCAAACGCAACATTTTTGCATCTTTTGAAAATACTTTTATTTGAGGGAAAATGATATAAGTATTGCTTACCTTCTTTTCAAATCCAGTCTTGATTACATAGCTGTGAAATGTTTGTAAATGCCATTTTGTGTACAATTTATTGAATAAATAAAGTTTAAACTAATTCATGTGCAATATACTTGTATATATATCTTCTTTTAATAGACGTTAGACACACGGCTCACTTAAACAAAATAAGCCAGCAAAATAGAACTTCACCATTCTAAATCCAAAATTCAAGATACTTCATAGATTTTACCAAGATATCAACAGTTGAAAAACATGTCTACCTTTTACAAAAACATGACCACTCAGAAAAGAATATTTCCCTTTGCTAGAAATAAGTGCCGGTATTTTACTGACACATTTCAATTATATATTCATATTGTTTTTACCTATAGTTTGTAGAGTTTAAATCGTAACATATCTCCTGTGCCCTGTTTTTACTCTAAATACTGTATAGTAGTTATCACTATTTTTGAATATCAAATGTGGAGCTTAACATATCTTTAAAGATCACATCATCGTTTACCCAAATTGGGAACAAAACATTATCTTTTGAATTTATTATTTGAAAAGCATGTTAAAAAGCCAATTATCTCCGTTTTTATCCTGACCACAGTGGTATACCGACACTGTATACATGTGTATAGTATATAGTGGTTTCATTTGCCTTAAAATGGTACATTTTAGTAGTGGAACACTACTAGACAAGAGCTAGTACGCTTCGTCTTTCACCCAAGGACATTTTAACTGTTGATAGATGCTTCAGATCAATTCATTTAAATTTGTGACGAATAAAGATCGAATATATTGTAAAGGATCTATTTATTTATACAGACAGCTGTAGGTATTTGATTCCGGTGTTCACTGGTAAATAATGAAACACGTTGTACCTCAGGCATTTACGGTTATAACAGTGACCAGTGAAAATGATTTTCCCGTTTCATTTACCAGTATTTAATTTCTCTTAGTCTTGTTTATTTCCTATTGATTTATACTTCTTTACTCCTATGTATAAGTTATAACCAAAGAGCAAAAATGGTTGGCTGCGTGTAGAGATTCTTTTCACTATTTAAGGTGCAAATGTGTAAGTGGTCGGATACCTCGATCGGTAGAGCCGCGGAATTCAGGTTGTTCATTTTTCTCATCCTGTGACAGATTGATACATGAAAATTAAAATTGAAATATAATGAGTTTGTCACATATATATGTATATATATATATCCCAGTACCAACTAATGTGAATAGCATACGTACCTTCTATTTAAAGTACTTCAAGAAAAATAGCGTAGGCCGAATATATGGATGTAACTATCTATAAGTTTTGCATTCGTGTAGCGAAAAGTGCCGGATATTCTGCTGGCAATATGATGAATACAGTTACTTGCAGGCATATAAAATTCCGCAACTTATAGTTCAAAATGCAGGGAGTAATAACGGTAGTGAGTTTCTTCCTATGAAAACCGCTAGGGCAAAAAATCGTAATATTTTGCGTTGGTAATTAGTTGTTCTTTAACGTCATTTGGAGCGTGCGGTTTTTCTTATCGAAAAAAAATACAAAATTATCAAATTCAAACCAAAGTCCTTTCTTACTTAATGTCATTTCAGTGTATAGTCGTTCTGGCTTGGAGTTTAACAAAATTTGTAGTGAGCAGTTTGCAATAACTGTGCGTTACCGCCGTAAATAATAATTTTGGTTTCCATGTCTTTCTTACTCAAAATTTAGACAAATATATCACGTGGTTCTAATTTATAGCCACTTAGATTTTTATTCCGATCATCATCATTTTAGTCTAGCAGTTTTTTTTATTTTTAAGGGTTCAGATTGCAAGGATCTGCGTTATAACATATTTATCTTTTGGATGTTTTAAACGCCTGTATGATATAAAAGAAACAAAACACATAGTTACAAATAATTTTAAATCTTTTCTTTTAATGTAGCTAGTTATCTGAATGCAATGATTATTGAATTTCACATAATTATCATTCAAGCATTCTTTATGAGAGCAATGATAAACAACCGATTTTATCTTTTTTAAATTTGAAAAAAAAGAAAAGAAAACGTGACATTCTTAAAGAACACCAGGGTAACTAGATTGGTGACTTAACAAACTGCTATCGGATGATTGTGGTCGATTAGTAATAGCTCAGTATTAATGTTAGATTATTCATATCGTGTGCAGATAAAATTTGTCATATAAGGAAGTTAAAGTACAATAGCGAGTGAAATACTTCTGATTCCCCCCCCCCCCTTTTTTACATTTACAAAACAAATGAATTTGTGAATAACTCGTCGAAACACTAACAATAAATGATTATAAGCTTCTATTCCTGGTATAAAAATGTCAAACCTGTTATATTGTGGATGTTAAAACATGTTCAAGACCTAACTTGTTTATGGATAATCTTTTACGGTATGTTAGTAATCACATATATTGCTTTCATTTCTTATATTTATATTTCTTATATTTATATATATTTCTAGTTATTAACTTAATTTAACTTACAGGAAATGCTGTGCATAGATTAACCTTATACTTTTTAAACCGTTTTGTGTTTTGTTGTTCCCGTAAATTTTTTTTTTTGAAAAGGTGTTTTAAGTTAAGCATAATTTTACTACATGTGTCATTTGTATATTTAATGTGCCATTAGTATTTCAAGTATTGAAAGACGCAATATTAATGTATCACTTGGATATTTTTATAAAACTTTGTTTGAAAAAATCTAGTTAACATTCTAGGTTATATAGTATGAACATTTATGGGACGACGAATAATAACATTTTGTTCTAGAACATTTTATTATCGGCTATGATATTATAATTATGTAATATCGGATCATGTATCTCGCACTTGCCATTAACATCCATTTGCAATTCTTCCTCAGCTTTATTGTTGTAATGTCTGATTATGATCTTATTATAAAAGCATTTTTATTGTAATACATATCTTACTTAACAGACCAATTCATTGTACACTTATTTTCTATAATTCCGTTCGTTCTTTCCTACGTTCTTCCGTTTTTTCCTTCGTTCGTTTATGAGTGAGGGGTTAATCATTGAAGTAAGTCAGTGAGAAAGCCAGCAAGTATTTTATGAAGAAAGGAACAAACATATAGGGATGAAACGATTGAAAAAATGAACTGGAGCGAAAGTGTGAGCTCGAGAACGCAGAGGAAGTAAATAAAGTACAGCAAAACCAAGCGAGCAATAAGTCAGATAGGCAAAGCCTGTAAGCTGAGTGATTTCGCTAGAATGTAAATAATTCAGTTTTGTGACTTTCACAAAAACCTGAAAACAAGAGATATCCGTCTGACAGCATGCTAGCTTATTATAAATACTTGCCTGGGAGTTTGGGATGATGGTTTTTAATTTAAGGCAATACCTCAAAGAGTATAGGAAATAAGCTTGGTGGTGTGCAAAACGTAACCGAAACTCTTAGTCGTAAAGGGGGGCAATTTTGTCAATATCCATTATAGAGTTATATACTCTTGGTCACAAACAAGACTTCCTCAAGTTACAAAAATGCTTTACAGGGGGCAAGAAACAAGTGGGATGATAAAAAAAAAACTTTTAAGCCCAAAAAGGTGGGGTTTCTTTTTTAAATCCATGACAGTGTTGTGACCTCCTGACGTCGGTTGTGGATGATGGTCACAAAAGTTTTTTTATGTTTTAAAGCAAGACTTCAAAGGGTATAGGAAATAAACAGGGTTGTACGAAAAACTTGACCGATATTCTTAGAACAAATTGGGAATGATTTTGTCTAAATCCATATCAGAGGTATGTCCTCTTGCTTGGAAGTGGAAATGATGACGACAGAAAAGTATTCAAAGTTTCAAAGCAATACAGTCGACTCCACTTATAACGAACTCGCTTATAACGAATTATCGTTAATAGCGAACTAAATCTGACATCCCCGGCCGATTCCTTTTTTATTTTATATTAAATCTCATCGCTTAATACGTACTCGCTTATAACGAATTTTCGGCTATAACGAACCATTTTTACAAGCCCCAAATAACGGAAAACATGTAAATTTCCTTGGTTATAACAAACTGTTATAATTGAAATAACGGGATGCGCCCGATTAGGATCAGTACATGAATAACGCTGTCCGATAATTATACAATCGGTAAGTTATGGCTCCAGGGAATAAAGATTTTGATTAATGTTCTCACAACATAATTTCCTACTTGTTACGGAAAATTTGTATTTCGCACCCTCAGTTGATTGATGTAAATACCCGATAATTACCAAATAATCGATTGTTTTTGTTTGCAATATTAACCAAACGATAATAAACAAATAGCAAAAGAATACAAATGGTTAGCACTTTATAGACAAGTACTACATGAATAAATGCATGTACCATGTACATAATATATCGTTCAATAAGATTCCTTGCATTAAATAACCATTAAATATTTATAACCGCTGCAGTAAAATACCGGTTAAACCAGTAACCAGTGAAAAATATGGCTTTTTCAAAGCAAATTTCCCCATAAAAAAAAGTAAGCAAGTTGTTGCTACTTCGCTTTTAGCGAACTTCGGATATAACGAACGATATTTTAATGTCCCATTGAGTTCGTTATAACCGGAGTCGACTGTATATCTAAGGATATAAGAGATAGATAGTTCAAAGTAAACTAAATTCTAAGTCGAAAACAGGTATGGTTTTGTCAAAATCTATTACAAGAGTTAAAGCATCTTGTCTGGAAGTGGGAAAGATGGTAACCAGCAAGCATTAAACGTTTCAAAGCGATTTCTTTTACAGGATATATGAAATAAGCGGGAGAGGAGAACAACTAAATCGTACTTCTAAGTCGAAAAAGAAGCATAATTTTATGAAAATCCATGACAGAGTTATGACTTCTTGCCTGGAAGGGGGAATGATGGTCATAAACAAGTCTTGATGTTTCAAAGCGATACATCAAACGGTATATGAAATAAACGTTGACTTTTAAATTAAGTAAGTAAACTATATATTGCAATAATCAGAACATTATTTATGACACATGTAATGACAGGATTAGTAATCGTATGAAGTTACGTATGAATTAACAAAACTTACATTTTTTACATAAAATAAATATCATGTATACAACATTTATCACTGATATGTTTTCTCTGGTTTATTCTGCAATATATTCAACGGCGTCTAAAATAACAATGATTCGACGTCACTTAAAATAAAAAGATGAACAGTAGAGCTGCAGTCCTATTACTTTTTGAACAACCCTCGTATAAAAAGAGCAACGGCGTGCGCCATGTAGACCACAGGGACCGTTATGTTATGTTTGTAGTTTTTAAATCACTTAATATTCTGTTAAAATATACTGGTAATATTCCAATTCATGATGGTTTGCTTTTGTATACAATAGATTGAACTACATTTGTATATAACATTTACAACAAAAGTCTTCATTTTTTTGGATTATGGAATTATCAAATCGTAAAGAGAATGTAACTGTTTCTTTACTGATGCCCGGAAACACGCGCGCAATATTTACAACAATTTTTGCAGAGTCATTATAAAGAGCACGATACTGCATATCAAAAACGTATAGTTTCAAAAACAAGAGGGCCATGATGGCCCTAGATCGCTCACCTGACTTATCATACTCATCCAAACAATTACCTAGACAAGCATTCTGACCAAGTCTCATGACAGGTGAGTCAAAAATGTGACCACTACAGTGTAAACAAGGATTATCCATATTTGAGCAGTGCGACCTAGTTTTTTACCCAGGTGACACATATTCAAACTTGACCTAAAAAATCATCAAAACAAACTTTCAGACCAATTTCCAGGATACTTGGATCAAAACAGTAGCAACTTGAGTGTTAACAAGATTTTTCTATTTTTAGCTCCGGTGACCTAGTTTCACATGCGATTTCGAACTCATCCAAGCAATTACCTAGACAAGCATCCTGACCAAGTTTGATAATAATTGAGTCGAAAATGTGACCACTAGAATGTTAACAAGGTTTTCCCATATTTGGGCGCTGTGACCTAGTTTTTCATCCAAGATGACACATGTTCGATCTTGACTTAGAAATCATCAAAACAAACTTCCAGACCAATTAACAGAATATTTGGATCACAACAGTAGCCACTAGACTGTTAACAAGATTTTTCTATTTTTAGCTCCTGTGACCTAGTTTTCATCTGAGATGAGACATGTTTGATTTATTCCCAGCAATGACCTAGACAAGTTTCCTGACCAAGTTTGATGACAATTGAGTCAAAATTGTGACCTCTAGAGTGTTAACAAGGTTTTTCTATTTTTAGCTCCGGTGACCTAGTTTTTCATCCGAGATGATCCATAATCGAACTCATCCGAGCTATCACCTAGACAAGCATCTTGATCAAGTTTGATGATGGTTGATGCAAAAATGTGACCGCTAGAGTGTAATCAATGTTTTCTATTTTTAGCTCCGGTGACCTACTTTTTCATCCGAGATGACCCATGTTCGAACTAATCCGAGCCATCACCTAGACAAACATCCTGACCAAGTTTGATGATGAATGAGGCAAAAATGTGACCTCTAGAGTGTTAACATGGTATTTCTATCTTTAGCTCCGGTGACCTAGTTTTTCATCCGAGATGACCCATGTTCGAACTCATCCGAGCTATCACCTAGACAAGCATCTTGACCAAGTTTGATGATGACAGATGCAAAAATGTGACCGCTAGAGTGTTAACAAGGTTTTTCTATTTTTAGCTCCGGTGACCTACTTTTTCATCCGATATGACCCATGTTCGTCTCATCCGAGCTATCAACTAGATAAGCATCCTGACCAAGTTTGATGATGATTGATGCAAAAATGTGACCGCTAGAGTGTAAACAAGGTTTTTCTATTTTTAGCTCCGGTGACCTACTTTTTCATCCGAGATGACCCATGTTCGAACTCATCCGAGCTATCACCTAGACAAGCATCTTGACCAAGTTTGATGATGATTGATACAAAAATGTGACCGCTAGAGTGTTAACAAGATTTTTCTATTTTTAGCTCCGGTGACCTACTTTTTCATCCGAGATGACCCATGTTCGAACTCATTCGAGCTATCAACTAGATAAGCATCCTGAAAACAAGTTTGATGATGACTGATACAAAAATGTGACCGCTAGAGTGTTAACAAGGTTTTTCTATTTTTAGCTCCGGTGACCTACTTTTTCATCCAAGATGACCCATGTTCGAACTCATCCGAGCTATCACCTAGACAAACATCCTGACCAAGTTTAATGATGATTAGGGCAAAAATGTTACCACTAGAGTGTTCACAATGTTATTCTATTTTTAGCTCCTTTGACCTAGTTTTCCATCCGAAATGACTCAGTTTCCAACTCATCCGAGCAATTGACTAAACAAGCATCCTGACAAAGTTTGATGATGATTGAGTCATAAGTGTGACCGCTAGTGTGTTCACAAGCAATTGTGGACGTACGACGGACGACGGACATTCACCGATCCTAATAGCTCACCCTGAGCAAGCTCAGGTGAGCTAAAAAGCAATAATAAAAATAAGTATGATGAAGGGTTTTTTTTTGTTTTTGTTTCATACAAATAGCACAATTTCCATTCATCCATAATGATATATCTTTAACGATCATTTTCCGCATGTTTGTTCAAAAGATAGCGTGTTGCTCATTTATAATGTGAACAATCACCCTGTAGCAAATAATGCCCCTCAATCTTCTGTTTCAATAGCAAACAAATAATGTTAAAATGGCAAAAAACACAAAGTTTTCTTTGTATCACAATGTCTATTTGCCGAAGTTTACTGTATTCATGAATATTTACCGATTGAATGACAGATCATTCAACTCAAAAGAAATGGATAACATGAAAGCTTAAATAGGACCTGAGTTGCTATGGCAAACAACTGTTTATACACGGCCATAATACCTGACCAAAATTTTTATAGCGCAGTTATAATACTGCTCAATTTCTTCTTAAAATTAATATAAAACAAACAAGCAATTTACATGCATTTGCCCCAGACGTGTTTATGATTAATATAAACATCGACGTTACTAACATGCAGTATTATAACTTGAATGAAACAAGCAACATTCAGATATTATTGCTAGTTGTTTGTTTTGCAATTAAGATGACGTTGTACACATGTTTTGTACTTTAAAAAGAAAAGACCAGTTAATAATCAAACAAAATCTATCTTGTCATTCTCGGAAAGGGGGCTAAGTGAATAAAATATTTTCACATTTTAAATAAAAAAATACTGTATATGGTAAATCATTATTATCACCAGGTAAATATTTCAGGTAAAATATATTATTTTAATTTGAATCATTCATAAGCGGAAACGAACAATTTGAACGTGTTTTCTTATATTTTAATTAATTCTTATTTATCGTTATCATTTTTATAAAGTTAAATACAATGTTTCATTATATAGATGTGTACTCTCTCATGTGCAACACAGGCAAAATTTTCATTTCGTCGTTTTGAATTTTTCATTCATTATTATGTAAATGTCCTCAAAATGAATACACTAGGCAGTCTCAGGGACAAATCTTTTTTTCCTTATAAAAAATAAAATAGTTGTTACCTAACTTGGCCCACTTGGGTCAGGTTAGAGTGTTCAGATTTTACAATAGTTGTCAGAGTGAACTTTGTAAACATTAAAGAACATGTCAAATGAATGACTTAGAATTGTCTCAATTATACAATACGCACAAGATCTGTTATTGTAGGTTTCAGGGTTTGTTCAAGTCACGTGGCTTGTTTTAAAACGACTCGGTGATTCTGTCGGCGTCCAAATTTCGTTCAACATATTTGGAAATATTTAAGCTTCAAACCCGAAATATATAGAATGTATACAGAAATTCGTGCTGGGACTTTACGAAATGCCATTTAGCGTGGTTTGAGTACATTAGATAATTTTTACATTTTTGTAATTAATATGCCCGAGTATCCCTTTAAAACAAATTAAATACATCTAACCGTAATAATGTATATTATTCAATCCATGATATTAGTATGCTACTTATTTATTTGTAACTATTGTATATGCATTTATTATATACTTTGTAATGAAATATTGAGAAATATTGATGAAATGAAATGCGTATTTTCATTTTCCGTATTTTCACTGTAAAAATTTATTTTTCACTGCAGTGAAACATATTTTCCGTATTTTCACTGGTGTCTTGCCGGACTACTTTATTTTAAATTCTGCCAGTACTCAAAATTTAAGGGAAAGTCTTGCAAATTTTAATGTCCAGAAAGAGAAAAATGTATATAATAAACAGAAAATTCAAGTCTTTTCTATAAATACATGATTTATTTTCATCTTGTGGCATGAAAATTACCATATTTCACTCGTGGCTATCGCCACTCATGAAATATTTATTTTCATACCACTCGATGAAAATAAATCATGTATTTATAGAAAAAACTTGAATATCCTCTATATACTTAATGGTTGATGATGATAAGCTGTAATGTTTAAATCTAAAATAAATTCAGTTCTGTTCTGTTATCATTTTTATCACCAGTATCAACAACAACATCATCATCATTTTAACGAGTAGTATTACTACATTAGCCATCACTTCAAAAACAAAACACTTAACAAGAACAGTTCTTTTTAAAACTGTCTCTATTATACAAGGTTGATAAAGCGTTGTTGCTTTTTTTGTTTCAGATCATAACTCTGATTTTTACCTGAACTCTCTGAATCCGGCTACACATTCTCCTGGTTCCTTAAAAAAGAATTTAGAAAATTGAAATAAGCAAAGCAAAAAGGATTTATGTTAATGGTACGTTTCAAACCAAAAAAATGAAGGTTCCAGCTAATTACATTATAAAGTCAATAAACAGTATGTCAAATCTGGCCACGCTTCGACGGGTAAAGAAATGCACGATTTTTGCCACAATCACAATGCTAGTATTTGTAATATTTACGAATTTATTGCCGGTTTTTGAGCAATATCAGACTGAACATTTAAAACTGGACACTGATGCTTATTTTGAAGATGCTAAAGATTTGAGGTATCCAGTCAAAGTACAGCCGTACTTATTTCGACTAATAAATGCTTCTAACCCGAGCGTTCCATTGACCATAAGTGCAACATATCTTATTCAGAACCGAAATCTTTGTCGTTCTGTGAAGAATCTTACGGTGCTTGTTGTAGTTAATTCTGCGACAGACCATTTTGAACAGAGACAGAGTATAAGAGCAACTTGGACAAACGACACGTATTACTCGTATTTAGCAACAGTCAGAGTTGTGTTTCTTGTTGGCAGAACTGTGAGTCACGTTGTCCAATCTGCGCTTGAAATGGAGTTCGAAAAGTATAAAGATATCGTACAAGGAGATTTTATAGATGCCTACAACAATCTTACACATAAAGGTGTGATGGGTTTTAAATGGATTACGGAGAGATGTCGCAATGCGGAAATGATTCTGAAAGTAGATGACGACATTGTAGTTAATATGTTTCTATATATCTATAAATTAAAACATTCTAAAGCGCTGCAAAAGGCAAACGTATATTGTGAATACAAATCCGATCTTATACACAGAGATTTTACATCAAAATGGTATGTTGATGAAAGTCATTTCAAAGGAGTAAAAAGATATCTGAAATTTTGCAAAGGAAAGTTTGTGAGTATGACGAATGATATAATGCCATCTTTATATCTATCCGCCTCGAAGTCGCCGTTTTTTCATCTCGATGACGTTTTGTTGTTTGGATATGTCCTGCATAAGATTCCAGGATTGAAGTATGAAACGTTCAGTGACGGTGATTGGCAGGGGGTAACTAATGAAGCAAAACACTGTTTAGATACCAAAAATGAAAAATGTACATACATTGCCATGCAGGCCGGTTACAAGGAGGACGTATTAAATATTTGGTCGAAAGTAGTCAAACACTTTAAAGATAAAGCATAGCCAACACAAGACTGAATAATAGTTATACTAAGTGTATCATTCAGTAGAAATATCCTTTTATTAAAAATTTACTAATTTTAAGCCTAAATTACACAAATAAGACGTGTGAAGATATGTTAAACAAGTTAAACAATTAAATATTTCATCAAAAAGTGTTTGTTATATGATGTCAAGAATTTCTAATGGCATTCGTTTATTTAAATCAAACTGTTTGTATCTTTTTAAAGCTATTAAAGAAATCTACGCTTTCTATAAATAAAATGTTTTAAACAATCTACTTGAATTCACATTTTAAAGATTGCGTTTGAGACATGTTCATTTTATTTTCGAGAACGTTACATAAAAACTAAAACAAGATTATTGTTGGGAAGTATGTCTCATATTTAAACACTCAAATAATAAATTACAAGGAGGTATTTTAAATTGACACAACATGTCTGTTCAACGGTAGAGGGACTCCACCGGAGATTTTGACATATTTCTCGAGATAAAGTTGATCGAGATCGAGGTTGTGTATAAATTTCAGATCATTCGTTACCTCCGTTTCTTTCCAGAATAATTTGTGAAAAATGACCCAAAATTGAAAAGCATTGCAACGCTTTTCTAGGACTAGAACAAAAATACGACTTTCGTTTTTTTAGTATATTTCTTAAGTATCTTCTTTCGCATGTCTTTCTTCTTAAACTAAGTGCCCGAAATGATCTATGTACGAAATTCAAATTATGGCTTTTATGTTTTTGACCTCAGTGGAGTAACTTAAACTTGTTCATGTAATTAAACATTTTTTTCTTAAATATAAACACGAAATCATCTGTTATAAACGATGAAACATTCACAATGATTTACGGAAGTTTTGATGGAAATTTATCATTATTGTGATGTAATTCAGTGCAAAACAATTCAGAATTTTCAACTACCATATACCAGCTTTACCATTTGATTGGCTTGTATTTTTCTGCATATTACATATTCTGCATATTACATTTTTAAAGGGAGCCTTTTCGGAAATTTTGTCTGGGTACTAAAATGTATAGTAATAAATTCATTTACCTAATGTATCTATGAAATACAATTATAAGCACACTAGGTATGGCAACTTTTCGTCTATACAGTACCCCCATATTTGATACGTTTGAAGAACCAAAAGATCAATGTGTGTGACCTAAGAGTATTTTATATATTGATTTAAAACTATCAAGAACCTAAATATATTTTGATTTGTTTATTTTATCTTGCCATAAAAGATAGCACTAAAACTCACAATAATCCCCGATAATAATTGCCAAATAAATCTTGTTCAGGATTATTTTTCGGCAATATTGTATTTTGTTGATAAATGTCGGTCACAGGGCATTGATTTTTGAATGTAACTTTGATTCGCCTTTTATTGTTATTAATAACATTTAATTTTGTTATTATAATAGTTATAAATAAAATGATTAAGTCATAGCATTCAATTTGTATTTTATTTAACTTCTATAATTATTCCCTCTATAGTCATTTCCTTTTGTACCATAAGAATTCTGATTCAGATGATATTTAAAAAAGTTTACTTTTTTACAAAGGAAATTTATCATCAATCGTTATTAAAATCAAATTGTTGATAAGAAATAGTATTAACACTTTGATTTAAATTTTTGACCCAGAAGATTATCATGCCTTGATTTAAATTTTTTTAAACATTGGTATAATTTAATAATAATTCTTGGATCCAAAAGAATAATTTAACTTGGATTTTAATCTAAATTTGAGATTGAATCACAGATATATATTCAAAATACCTTGTGTGTTTAAGATAGTGCACCCCTAATGCATGTCTCCACTTTGAAGAGTATTCAAATAGGCTAAAATCACTGTAAAGTGTATTGAAACTGAGGGGGCGTGGGTTCAAACCCCAGAAGGGGCAATTTTTTTTCTTTCTTTTTTTTCTTTTTAACATTTTTTATTAATCTCTCAGACCCCCAATGGAAGAAAAAAGTGATTTATTTTAATTATATAATTATTGTAGGTATTTATTAACTAAATAATGCCAAATTTAATAGCAAATATGATACCAGATATTTTCAAAGTTTAATAAAATAAAAACTAAACGGTAAAAGTATTTTATATTTTGCAAGACCAACCAATATACATTAAAGAAAATTTAGGCAAACTTTGAAAATAGCCCCTCATTTTGGAAAATTTTAGGAATATTTTAAATAAGGCTTTTTACATAGGGAAATGGTCAAATTAGTGTTAAAAGTGGGTGGGGTAGGGTTACATTTTTATACATATTAAAAATATTTCGTTTAAAAACAATCGTTTTGCTTGTTTAATTTGTTACCTAAATGTCATTATTTATTTCTTAACAATGAGCAAAAGGAAAACAATTTTCATAATGATGATATTATAGATTATTTAGAGTTTCCTCATTTCTGAAAAAATCCTTTCTAATGGCAAAGTTTTAGGTCATAAAAATGTCCATAACTCATAAACCACACGGTAAATTTTGTTTAAATTTTGCACACAGGTGACATTTAAGGCATATAACTGTCCTATGTTGTCAAAATTACAATTCCTTATAGTGCCCATTAGGGGTGTACTACCTTAATCGTTGTTAAGAAAGTTAAGTAACGCATTATCATTGTTATTTGGAGAGTTGATAGTACTGTACTATTTTTCTATTCAGAGGATTAATTTATAATTTGTTTTATTTTTTATAAAATTTGGATTTAAATTAATAATGTTGGCCCTGATAAACAATTTCTGGATTTAAACATTTTTGATACAGAAGATTTATTAATACTATTAAACAAACAAACAAACAATGTACATGCATTTGCCCTGGACGTGTTTATGATTAATATAAACATCGACGTTACTAACATGCAGTATTATAACTTGAATGAAACAAGCAAAATTCAGATATTATTGGTGGTTGTTTGTTTTGCAATTAAGATGACGTTGTGCACATGTTTTGTACTATAAAAAAAGTAAAGACCAGTTAATAATCAAACAGAATCTATCTTGTCATTCTCGGAAAGGGGGCTTAGTGAATAAAATATTTTCACATTTTAGATAATAAAATATTGTACATGGTAAATCATTATTATCATCAGGTAAATATTTCAGGTAAAATATATTATTTTGAATCATTCATAAGCGGAAACGAACAATTTGAACGTGTTTTCTTATATTTTAATTAATTCTTATTTATCGTTATCATTTTTATAAAATTAAATAATTTGTATCATTATATAGATGTGTACTCTCTCATGTGCAACACAGGCAAAATTTCCATTTCGTCGTTTTGAATTTTTCATTCATTATTATGTAAATGTCCTCAAAATGAATACACTAGGCAGTCTCTAGGACAAATCTTTTTTCCTTATAGAGAATAAAATAGTTGTTTCCTAACTTGGCCGACGTGGGTCAGGTTAGAGTGTTCAGATTTTACAATAGTTGTCACAGTGAACTTTGTAAACATTAAAGAACATGTCAAATGAATGACTTAGAATTGTCTCAATTATACAATACCAACAAGATTTGTTATTGTAGGTTTCAGGGTTTGTTCAAGTCACGTGACTTGTTTTAAAACGACTCGGTGATTCTGTCCGGCGTCCAAATTTCGTTCAACATATTTGGAAATATTTAAGCTTCAAACCCAAAATATATATAATGTATACAGAAATTCGTGCTGGGACTTTACGAAATGTCATTTAGCGTGGTTTGAGTATATTAGATAATTTTTACATTTTTGTCATTAATTTGCCCGAATATCCCTTTAAAACAAATTAAATACACGTATATCTAACTTTAATAATGTATATAATTCAATCCATGATGTTAGTATGCTACTTATTTATTTGTAATTTTTGTATATGCATATACTTAGTGGTTGATGAGCTTACGGAACGTCGGTGGTTCTACTCGGGTGCCCGTTCGTGCCTGAAATAATGCACGAAGGGCACCTATCCACCAGTAAAGCTGGAACATCGCGATATGACCTATACTGTGTCGATGTGACGTAAAACCCAAAACAAAACAAAACAAATAATGGTTGATGATGATAAGCTGTAATGCTTAAATCTAAAATAAATTTTCATTTCTGTTCTGTTATCGTTTTTATCACCAGTATAAACAACAACATTATCACCATCATCATCATCATCAATTTAACTAACGAGTACTATTACTACATTAGCCATCACTTCAAAAACAAAACACTTAACAAGAACAGTTCTTTTTAAAACTGTCTCTATTATACAAGGTTAATAAAACGTTGTTGCTTTTTTTTGTTTCAGATCATAGCTCTGATTTTTACCCGAACTCTCTGAATCCTGATACGCATACTCCTGGTTCCTTAAAATAGAATTTAGAGAATTGAAACAAGCAAAGCAAAAAGGATTTATTTTAATGGTACGTTTCAAACCAAAACATGAAGGTTCCAGCTAATTACATTATAAAGTCAATAAACAGTATGTCAAATCTGGCCACGCTTCGACGGGTAAAGAAATGCACGGTTTTTGCCACAATTACAATGTTAATATTTGTAATATTTACGAATTTATTGCTGGTTTTGGAGCAATATCAGACTGAACATTTAAAACTGGACACCGATGCTTATATTGAAGATGCTAAAGATTTGAGGTATCCAGTCAAAGTATAGCCATATTTATTTCGACTAATAAATGCTTCTAACCCTAGCGTTCCATTAACCATAAGTAATATAATTTCTTTATTTCCGTCTCATCTTTACATGTATACATAAAATTACATATAAAACGTTAAACACAAACATAAAGTACATGAAAAGACATTCTAAAAGAATTACAAGAGACCATTTACTTTTACCTCTAAGGGAGACAACTCCACAGACCATATCACAGCAGTTAATGTGTTATGCACTGAAGAGTTTTCCCCCCTAGCTACACAATTATCATTCATTAAAAGGTTGTTGTATTAAAAAACATATGACCTCAATATATTCAAACTATTGCATGTTTTTCCTACAGAAGGTTACATTGTGGTACAATGAATAAAACGATACTAAAATGTTTAAATGCAAATGGTAAGAAGAAAAATTGATCACTATAAATCATTTAACCTTGAAAAGAATGTCATCTATTACACCTGATAATTTACAATCTCTAAATATAACTAACTTCAGTATATCAACGATTTGTTTTCTCCAACATAATTTACATGAAGACCTGTTTTATCCATACAATATATTGGCTTAGTCAATGAATGTTTTATACAGAAGCAACATATACATTGTATTTGTCCAATATGTAATAAATATGACCATTAAAACTTATATAAGTCAATTAATGACATTTTTAAAACCATATCTTGCCAAATAATATTTACTAAGACTGTTTTATTATATTTTTATACTGTCTAATTAAATTTATCTAGGACTATTTAAACTATAAAACAGCATTCACTTTTGAAAAATTGATAACAATGTGAGATTACAGTCTTAGTCTGGTTAAAATATTTATCCTAAAACCTACATTTCAGTAAAAACATTTACCTATTATTCTTTTATATACAATATACATATTTTAAATTAAAACAAAAACATATAAAAAGACACATCAGAAAAAGAGAGCAATTTGCATGTTCTTATATGTAAAGGAAAGTTACCCTTGTCTTAAGTATGTCAAAGCAGGATTTGGCAATATACCGTACACAACTCGTATTTGAGAATATAAAAATAAACTTCTCCATAGTTGTCATTGTGTGAAATTGTGGGTTTTTGACACTCACTTTTTTCAAATAGATCTACACGAATATCTTCATACATAAAACATTCCATTACAGCATGAAATTCACTTTCTACCTTGTCACTACAAAAAGGACAAATCCTTTCATTTACTGGTAGGCGTTCATATCTACCTGTCTCTATTCTTAGTGGTGCAGTTCCACATATGAACTTAGCAAAAGCGGACCTGTGGCAACGCGGAAGTATGATTTTACAATATTCCTCAGTTCCAAAAGTTGTCTTAAACTGCCTATATGGGCGCAGTTTGTTGCCACCGACCCCGCTTCTAATTCTTTCAGATGTAACATTAACATTGCATTGTTCTAGATTGAACTTTTTCTAACATAGCTTTTTTTTGATACCATATTATCAATATTACAAAATTCTGTACATTCAAGATCATATAAATTTGTTTTTTTTTTCTGAAACACCAGTTTTTACATCTTGTACTACCAACTGTATTAGCATACATAAAAACTTTATAGTTTGTTCTGGACCTAGGCATCATACATAGCCTGTGCCTAAAATTAGAAACACTTATCATATGTCTACTGAAAGTTGGTTGCCAGCCCATATCACCTATCAGGGCTGCTGACGGAGAGAAACGGGATGTCCCTAAGAAAAGACGCATAGCACGGTGTTGAATTGAGTCAATACAGGAAAACGATTTGTTTCCATATAGCTGCTCCATATGCTACCACTGACCAAACCAGCGAGACAAATTACTTAGTAAAGACATTGTAAGGCATTCCCCCTAGAGACTTGTATTTAGCTATTAAGAGACCTAAAGCTCGGCTGGCTGACTGAGCAACAAACTTTGCTGTGACAGAGTAGTCTAAATTCTCTTGAAGTGTTAAACCTAAGTGTACA